AGGGGAAGCGGACCAAAGAATAAGACTGGGCAACATATTAGGGAAAAAGTATAAAGAATTTCCTTTTAAAAGTGAAGCAAAGTTTTTGGAAAAAAAAATGTTAATTATTAAATAATGTGAATAATATGATACTCCTATATAAAAATTTTATGCTTACTCCATACACTATTTATATGTACACTTGACCCTTGAACAAATGGCAGGGTCAGGGGCATGGACCTACCTACCACACAGTCAAAAATCCAGTTAACTTTTGACCCCCGGCAAACCCGACTGCTAATAGTCAACTGCTGATCAGAAGCCTACTGATAACGTAAATAGTTGATTAATATACATTTTATATATGTACTATATACTTTATTCTCAAAATCAAGGAAGCTAGAGAAAAGAAAATGTTATTTAGAAGATCATGAAAGATCATGAAAGATCGTGACTGTACTACATTTATCAAAAAAATTCTTAGAAAGATCATGAAAGATCATGACTGTACTACATTTATCAAAAAAATTCTGCATATAAGCATACCCACGCAGTTGCAACATGCGTTGTTCAAAAGTCGACTAGGCTTTTTGCCATACCCAAAGCTTCTGCCAACTCCTACATATGGACAACTTTAAGCCTTTAGCTTTAATTATATCTCTTCCCTAAAATCTGGAATCTTGTAAACCAATGCCTACTAGACAACTTTACTTAGATGTTCAGAGGAACTTTAATATCGTTGTGCCCCCACATGAACTATTTATCACTAATTATGTTTGTTCTGTATTTCTTTTCCATTCTCTTCTCTTCTCTTCTCTTCCCTTCCCTTCCCTTCCCTTCCCTCCCCTCCCCTTCTTTTCTTTTCTCTTCTCTTCTTTTCTTTTCTTTTTTCTTTTCTTTTTTTTTTTTGAGAGAGAGAGAAGGAGACAGAATCCCAAGCAGGCTCCTCACTGTGAGCACAGAGGCCAATGTGGGCTGAGCTGAAATCGAAGGCTTAACTGACTGACACACCCAGGTGCCCCTTTTGTTCTGTATTTCCTTCTTTCTTTTTCTTTTTTTTTTTTTTAATTTTTTTCACACTTATTTTGAGATGTTTATTTATATTTGAGAGATTATTTATTTATGAGCGGGGGAGGAGCAGAGAGAGAAGGAGACACAGAACCTGAAGCAGGCTCCAGGCTCTGAGCTGTCAGCCCAGAGCCCGACGCGGGGCCCAAACTCGCAAACCGCGAGATCATGACCTGAGCCAAGTCAACCGCTTAACCCACTGAGCCACCCAGGCGTGCCTGTGTTTCTGATCATAGCTCTAGCAAACAAAATCCGCTAGCACCAATGGAAAACATTTTTGGCCCCATGAACACACTGCAATTTAAATATTGCTCAGGTTATTATGCCACTCCTACCCGAGACTGACTTCCCCGCTTCCAATGCTTCTGTGCATAAATAGCTCCCTACTCAAGGTTTGACTAGGGCACATCTAAATGGACATAGCCCATATGCCCCTCAGCATCCTAAGTTCCAGGGGAAGTTGGGAAAGTGAACAGCTTTTTTAGCTTCTATGGTGGGGAAGGGCTTGCCTACCATCTGGATTCATGTGGCAAAGACTGCCTCAGCAAAGGAGAGTGACTCAGTTGCTGCACATCTGAAATGATGACAAATAAATATCCACTACACCATATTCTTCCCAGTCACCCAAATCAAATGCCTGCAAGTTATCCTACAATTATCTGTCTCCGTGCATAAATATTTGATAGGATATATCTTTTTTTGTTAAACTTTTTTTAAGTTTATTTATTTATTTTGAGAAAGAGAGGGAGAAAAAGAGAAAATCCCCCAGCACGCTGCACGCTGTCAGCACGGAGCCTGACACGGGGCTCGCTCTCACGAACTGTGAGATCATGGCCTGAGCCAAGATCAAGAGTGAGACACTCAACTGGCTGGGCCACCTGGGTGCCCCTCGATGGCATGGATCTTGATGGCGACAAAGAAAAGTGGAGCAGAGGGCCTTAGTATGACATTAAAGAGGGTCGACAGAAAGACAAATTTTATTTATTTATTTATTTATTTATTTATTTATTTTTTTAATGTTTATTTATTTTTGAGACAGAGAGAGAGACAGAGCATGAACAGGGGAGGGTCAGAGAGAGAGGGAGACACAGAATCTGAAATGGGCTCCAGGCTCTGAGCTGTCAGCACAGAGCCCGATGCGGCGCTCAAATTCACGGACCGCGAGATCATGACCTGAGCCGAAGTCGGACGCTTAACCGACCAAGCCACCCAGGCGCCCCAGAAAGACAAATTTTAAAATAAAGGCATACTAAGTAAATACATTTTAAAATACAGGGATACGTGACACGATAGGTCTATGTCTTAAGGCTACCAACAACCGACAAAGATCTCTTACAGGAAGGTCTCTAGGGGTCTGGTGAAAGAAGTGGCACAGAAACGTGTAAAAACACACACGTAAACACACTCACACTTCCAGATGTCTGTAATTGTTCATATATTTCTTGAAAGTCAAGACCTTATTTTATAATGTATATTTCACTCTACTTCCTTTTGGCCCTTTAAAAAAAAAAAGGACAGGGGCACCTCGGTGGCTCAGTTGGTTGAGTGTCCAACACTTGATTTCAGATCAGGTCATGACCTCACGGTTCATGGCATGAAGCCCCGTGTCAGGCTCTGTGCTGTCAGTGCACAGCCTGCTTGGGATTCTCTCTTTTCCCCCCCGTCTCTTTCTCAAAATAAACAAATACACTTTAAAAAAAATTTTTTTTTTTTTTTTTTATTTTAAACAGCACAGAGCTTGCTTGGGCTTCTCTCTCTCTCCTGCTCTCTCTGCCCTTCCCCTGCTTACACTCTCTTTGTCTCTCTCTTTCTCAAAATAAAAATAAATAAGCATTCTTAAACGTTATAAGAAAAACGTTTTTAAAATGACGGTACGCAGCACAGTTTAAGTTGCATGGCCTCAAAAAATGTCTGGTCTTGACTAGAGTTTCTATATTCAGTATTAATGAATTGAATTCCCATGCAGAATCATGGCATTTGATTGAAAAATCAATGGCATTTTTTCCCCAAACAAAAAGAAATCTCAAATAGTAGTGATTGCTTGGGCACAGTGAGCAAAAGCATGGTTTTTTTCCTGAAAATATGAAAAGTGATGTAATGGAGGTGGAAAAACCACCTGCTCTAATATTTTATAATAGACTTCTCATCTTCAACAGCTTTTGTGCATGTTATGCATTTTATGCATAAATGCAACAGCCTTTATGGTTAGCTGTAAGAGGAAGAGGGCAATGAACAAGAATTTGAGAAACCCTGGTCTTTCCTTCCCTTGGACATGTACTAAAATTCTCTATCCTGAAAGACTTTACACACTGGTTCTCTCAAACAATATTTATATAGTAAAAGAAGGGAGGTCACTCATATAAAAATATCATTACTAATACATGCATATATGAAGAGTTCCAAATAAGTTCTATCGACACTATGAGAGGGTACAACTATTTTGAAGGCAGATTAGGGGCACCAGGGTGGCTCAGTCTTGAGCATCTGACCTTTGATTTCTGCTCAGGTCATGGTCTTGCGGTTCATGGGATCGAGCACCGGATCGGGCTCCGTGCCGGGTGTGAAGCCTGCTTGGGATTCTCTCTCTCCCTCTCTCTCTGCCCCTCTCCTGCTCACACACACTCTCTCTCTCTTTCTCTCAAAATAAATAAATAAAACATTGGAAGAAAAAAAAATGTGCATGTTTGGAAAATGATGCAAAGTCCACTATGGAAAAGAAGAAAAGAAATGACCTGGATGATGTAATTTCACATTTGAATTGCTTGGAGTCATTCCAAGGAGCCTACTTTTTATTCTGGAGATGACAGAGAAGAATTGAAAACAATTAAGCAATGAGACTTCTAAAGAGATTTATGATGTAGGAGAAAAAATGAGAGTAATGTGAAAGTTGGACTGAAAGAGAAGGAAAAGATTGGGCTGGAGGCAAAGTAATTAGTTAGAGGCTGTCATAGATGTGTGGTTGAGAGACAGTAAAACGCTAAAATATTTAGTAGAATTGGAGTGGGAAAGAAATATACACATTAGAGAGATATCTATGTATAATTGTGGCCAATCTTATTTGTGGGAGAATATTTAAGTTGAATATTAGTCCTCAGTCTCTGGTTTGAACGTCATATGAGAGTTGAGAACAGGCTTTCAAATCCCAAGCAAATTTATCTACAAAGTTGGACATAGAGGCTGGAGAGAAAATGAATTGGCAAACAGAGAGTCAGAAGCCTTTACCAACCAGCTGAGTACCTTGAATAATTTATGCATTTATGCCTGGATTCATTTCCCTTATCTATAAAATTCAGTGGTTGAAATAGGGTCTTTTGTCTCTAAAATCATGACTCTACTTATATGGATTAATTTTGCATTGCTATACAACTTTGTCCTTGCAGAGTTAGATTACTGGATCTGCAACATTTATTTTTGAAAACATAACAGAGCCAGCAGGGAAATGGACATATAGAGGAGTGAAGGAAAAAGGAACGTGATAATAAACAGAAAAAATATGAAAAGTTTACATGGAACTAATTTTGAAAAAAAGATTAATCTTACTACTTAGTATAAAGATGCTATCTCCCATAAGGGAAAATCAGAGGCAGAAAGCAGCACTCTTAGGTAAAGTTCTTCACTGAAAACCAAAACAAAATAAGGCCACCTGGATGCTCCGTCAGTTAAGCATCAGCGTTTGGCTCAGGTTCACACGGTTGGTGAGTTCAAGCCCCGCATCGGGCTCTGTGCTGACAGCTCGGAGCCTGGAGCCTGCTTCGGATTCTGTGTCTCCCTCTCTCTCTCTGCCCCTCCCCGACTGGGGCTCTGTCTCTCTCCTTCTCCCTCCAAAATAACCAAACATTAAAAACAAAACAAAAAAGGCCTAAGAGACCGATTCCAAAAAAAAAAAAAATCAATGGCAAAATGTGACCAGGAGGGTTCAAGAAATGCTCTAGCAAGTTAGGTTGTGGCCGTAGTTCACTCCTTGTACCCATACAGCTTTGTAATTCCTCTTAAGGGTAGTGAAGTGCACTTCCCCATTCCTTGCCTTTGAGGTCAACCAGGAGATAACCTTCAGCCAATGAGATGTTAATAGTGACTTGAAATATGCGGAATTGATGAGCTTACCCTCTTGTACCTCTGACATCTCTGTCCGAAGGGCTTCTGGAGCAGTGGCTGACTTTTCCCCTGGACCCCGGGGTAGCCAAGAGACCAGCACACCAGACTCACGGCTTGAGGCAGGGTCACAGCCGCAATCAGCCTTGACCGAACAACCCAGACAACTCGGCCAACGCAGCACAGACTAGTGAGTGAGCCAGGGTTTGGGACGTGCTTTGTAAAATAGCCTGAATACGGCAAGAGCTAACCGGTACGCAGGGAAAATGTATGCTTTTTAAGTAGCATGTAGAGTATTGGGATAATCTTTGCTTTGGGTAAAGGCTTGAAAAAATAACCTAGCCATAGATTTCCCTATTCCCTCACTCTCTCTCTCTGTCTCTCTCTCTCTCTAACACATAGCCATGGCTCCTGAAATAAACGTTTTATTTGGGGATATGAATTAATAATCATATATTAAAAACATCAATATGCAAAATTAGAGAGAACTCTATAGCTTATAATCCAGCTTTAAAAACTGTCAACCCATTACTTTCCGTTTGTCTCCCAAGGAGGAGACTTCGAAATGCTGTTGTTGGGGCGCCTGGGTGGCTCAGTCAGTTGAGCGTCTGACTTCGGCTCAGGTCATGATCTCACAGCTCGTGGGTTGGGTTCGAGCCCCGCGTCGGGCTCTGCGCTGACCGCTCGGAGCCTGGAGCCTGCTTCGGATTCTGGGTCTCCCTCTCTCTCTGCCCCTAACCCACTTGCATTCTGTCTCTGTCTCTCTCAAAAATAAATAAACTTAAAAAAAAAAAAATGAAATGCTGCTGCGGAACAGGAGGTCTGCTTTCTACATCTGGAAATAGAAGTTCAGCATATGAGAATGCTCACGGAAAGGACCAGAACAGACAGAAGCAGTACAGTAGAGCAGAGTCGTTCAGTGATCAGAGCCAATGAATATATAAGTTTGGCCACATACTGGCTATATGACTTTAAGAACCCTTTTTACCTCTCTGTTACTTTCAGGAGGTCATTTCCTCTGTAAAGTAATGATAATAATAAGCTCCCGTTTCATTTCATTGTGAGTATAAATTAAGTCCTAAAACTGAAAAGCTCAGAACCAGGGCTACCATAGAGTGAGCACACAATACACCTGAGGTATGATTGTTTCTATTATTATTATTAAAGTGATGCAATGTTCTTTTCACTGCAGTGTAAATTGGTATTTCACGCTGGACTTCTTTAGGATTGCTCTGTGGCTTGGATCCATCATGGTCAGAATTAACTAAAAATTTTGGTAGGTCAAGGTGACGGTGTGAAAATTCTGTCGGCCTCATAAACTACTGGACCTCGCTTCCTTTCCACTGAACCCCACAGTCAAAAGAATCATTTCAGAGGCCCCCACTACCTCCAGTGGTTCCTCAAACCACAGGGAAGCGGAATGATTTCCGGATGGCAATGTAGCAAAAGGACAGGAGTCGCATGATTGCTCAGACTTCCGAGGCAGTTTGTCATAATTTTGATATTGATGTGGAATTCTCATTTTAGTTTGCCTTAACTTTACTTTCTCATTTTAGCTTGTCTTCATACTGCTGACACTAAATCCAACCGGCGAGCGGAGATCTGGAATCCTGTGCATTCCCTACGACCAATCTGTATCCTTGCTTTGCTGAAAAAGAGACATGGACGATGGACTATCGCTGGGGAATTCAGACTTCCAGTCTAAGGGTAAGAAACGCATGCGTGACAGGCTCTAGGTGCTATGTGTGCAGTAAACAAATTTACATTTGGTGGGCATCTGCTATCGATTCTGAGTCCTAACTCTCCTCAGAGAGTTGGTATCTCCCTGCTCATTTCTTCTAGCCGTGGCATATTATTTTCAGCTACCGATCCAAAGTATCTTTTTTTTTTTTTTCAACGTTTATTTATTTTGGGGACAGAGAGAGACAGAGCATGAACGGGGGAGGGCCAGAGAGAGAGGGAGACACAGAATGGGAAACAGGCTCCAGGCTCTGAGCCATCAGCCCAGAGCCCGACGCGGGGCTCGAACTCACGGACCGCGAGATCGTGACCTGGCTGAAGTCGGACGCTTAACCGACTCCGCCACCCAGGCGCCCCTCGATCCAAAGTATCTTATAACCAGATCCACACTGTGTGGATAAAACATAACGAATTTCTGTACTATTTTTAACAGCATCATTAGATAAAATTGACATACATTGAAATGCTTAGAAACAGCTTGCCAATTTCCACCCCCCTCCCAAAAAAAAAAAAAAAATGCGGCTGAGAATTTTGTTTGGGATTGTGATAAAGCTATACATTCATTTGAGTGAAACTGACAACTTCACAAAGTGAAGTCCTCTGACTCATGAAAACAGTATCTTTCTCCATTTATTCATGTCTGTAATTTATTTCAGCAATGTTTTGTCGTCTTCAGTGTACAAGTTTTGCATGTCTCTTGTCAGATTTATCCATAAGTATTCAATATTTTATGCAGTACTGTAAATGGTATATTTTAATTTTCCATTGATCACTGAGAGCAGATAAATATGATCACTTTGCATATACAGATCTTGTTCTTCTACCATTCCAAACTCGAGTTAGTAATGAAAAACTGATTGATTTTTTTAATAGGAGACATTATCACTTTCAACCTTACCAACACACCACAAGGACCCTCAAAAAGGAATAAAGAGAGACTTTGTATCTGTAAAGTTGTCACCATTGTCATGTTCTTTCTGATGATTTTGATAACTACCCTGGCCACAATTTTAGCAGGTGAGTTGCCCACTTCCCAAATACGCTCATGTTAACTCTACTATAAAATATTTCACCATATGTGTGCTTTAAGGGTAATTCTTGAACATCTTTTTGCATGGAATGGACATATGTTTCTTCTATAAAATGAGGATAATAGCTGTATTTCATATTGTGAGGATAACAGTAACGCATATGAAACTTTCTTCTAAACCAGTGTGACTTATAGTCCTTACAAGGTAAGGGTCTCATGGTAAAATAGTACATCTCCATACTGCATCCTTCATCAAAAAAGTCTCATTGTGAAGAAATATAAAAAGAACTGCACAGTATATTTGTAGCATAGTTAACAATGAATCACCAGGTCCTTATCTCCCTGTGGACTGGTAGCAATTTATGGAATATTATCTAGTTGGGGACTACCTTGCCCTAAACCATATACTTTTACATATATATTAGTATTTTTTTCCTAAACTGCTTCTAGTTAATGACTATGTTGATAAGAGTGGAAGTTGAGTTTAAGGTGCAAAACATTCGATCTGTGTCTGGTTGTGCAGCTTCCAATGATGGGGTCACATTATCAAGCTCCAATTAAAATTCACAACTATACATATGGGCTACAGAGAATTGGACAAGAAGAAATTGTTACTATCCTAATGACCATATTTTGTACACAAAATATCAATTACTCTGAGATTCTAAAAGGAAGTTTAGAATGGTATATCGCCCTCTCATGATAGTAAACTATGTACATATTTTCTGAAAATAACTTGAAACAATTTTAATGAGATGTTTCAAAATATATGCATAAGTATATATGCATTTGGTGGGCATATATAACTGTGTATATGATTTACACATGAATATACGTATTATACATGTATATATGTACATATATACGCGTATATATTTCTATACACATGTATATGTATATGTATACACATGTATATGATTTACACACGAATATATGTATTATACACGTATATATGTACATATATACGTGTATATATTTCTGTACATGTATAGAAATATATATACATGTGAATACCCTGTATGTAGATAAATAGATAATTAGATAAGGAGATGGAGAAAGAAATCATTATACAAACTCGGCATTAGGCTGTGTGTTGACAACAAAGACAGATACGATTCCTGCCTTCATGGAACTTACTCCACAAAGCAAAGTCATGAGTCAAATAATAAGAATGATGAGTTCCATGAGAAGGACATAAGTAATGAAGTCCAGGTGAGTAAACAGCTTTGCCAAAAAGACTATGACATCATATTAGGTGAATGGGCTTAAATATTTACAGTAAAAATCTTAGCACCAAACTATTCCTCTTTGAGGCATGGTCTAAAGTTATAATTTATACCTAACTGCAAACTAAGGAGACTGTTCCTCAAATAAAAGCATAAATGATATCTATTGGTCAAGTTAAGGAAATAAACATTATTGATATTATTGCTCAGCTTAAATTACACTGTAATTACAGTCATATGACTTCTCTGGACAAAATAATAAAAATAATTAAGAGGAAAGAGAAGGAGGAGGAGAGAAGTTGGAGGGAGAGGAGGAGAAGGAGAAAGATTTTGGATAAAACAAAATATATATTTGTAAAGCATTTTATGCTTTATAAAACATTTTAATACACAACATTTTATTTGCATTTTCTAGTGACCCAGAGCAGTAGTAAAGTATTAGTGTTCTTATTTTCTTTTGCTATACACAAGGACTTTGAATGTCAGAGATAGCAGCTGTTTAAAGACCGTTGAGTAGACCCAAGTTACAACCTGAATCCAAGTCCTCTGCATTTTATTCATCATTCTTACAATATCTACAATGCTGTCTCTCTCTTTTTTGTTATTTTTTTTTTAATCTTTATTTTTACTTTTGAGAGGGAGAGAGACACAGAGGGTGAGCAGGGGAGGGGGCAGAGAGAGAGAGAGGGAGACACAGAATCCGAAACAGGCTCCAGGTTCTGAGCTGTCAGCACAGGGCCCGACGCGGGGCTCGAACTCGTGGACCGTGAGATCATGACCTGAGCCGAAGTCAGACGCTTAACTGCCTGAGCCACCCAGGCGCCCCCAATGTTGTCTCTTTCTAAGTGAGCTTATTTCCTATGGTTTATATAAAAAGAATACCCACTTATTTGTTAAAGGAGCTGAAATATGTGCAACCTGTTCTTAGAAACGTAGGGTTTCTTCCAGGCCACCTACTGCAGTCAGTACAGGCCATGCTCACAGATGCTCCTAGTTTTCTCTCAGTGGAATTTATTCAGTGGACTTCCTACGGATCCTCATTTGTGTTCTCTGATTCAAGCCATGTTGAAGAGAATATCTTATAAACTGGGTCACACAACACTAGAGAGAGTTGATAAAGGTTAATATGCTTTATCTTGTAGTGATATTGAACTATGGGACCAGAATTCCATCTCCCAGTTTTTTTTTTCCAACGTTTATTTATTTTTGGGACAGAGAGAGACAGAGCATGAACGGGGGAGGGGCAGAGAGAGAGGGAGACACAGAATCGGAAACAGGCTCCAGGCTCTGAGCCATCAGCCCAGAGCCCGACGCGGGGCTCGAACTCACGGACCGCGAGATCGTGACCTGGCTGAAGTCGGACGCTTAACCGACTGCGCCACCCAGGCGCCCCGACCATCTCCCAGTTTTATCTTCGGTTATGAGTCATCCAGGGTCTAGCATCTCAGTTACCCTATTTATACAGCAGAGGACTGGATTCAATAGTTTTTAGTGCTGCTTGTGATGCTAAAACTCACTGATTTCCTAAAGTTATCAAGCAAAAGTAAGGGTTATTTAACACAACCTAAGGATGCTAAATTCCTGTGACCCAGATCAGATGATGCAGTTTGTGCGTTGATGTGCAAACGAGCTTTTCTTACTTAATAGATATGAATACTTAGGTTAAAGTAGGCAAAGGTCTAATCAGGTCTAGAATAAAAATTGTTCCTTCACTTAGGTATACTTGAGAACAGTTATATAGATTTTTCTTGGATGGGTATGACTGCTATATATTTTGTTGATTTATGCAGCAATCAGACATGACATAATCGCCAGGTATAGCGATTTACCTATAGAGAGGAATAGAGAGATAGAGATAGAGAGATAGAGATAGAGAGAGAAGAGGCAAAAATTATATATATATATATATACACATTATATATATATATACACATTATATATATAACTATAGCTATATATATAATGTATATATATGTATAAATATATATGTATATATAATGTATATATATAATGTATATATGTATATAGCTATAGTATATATATAATGTCATAGCTATAATGTATTAAATCTGATTGTCTATTAGAAGCCAAGAGCATGGAAAGCAGAGTATGATCAATTCCAATGGGATGGAGTGGAGGAAATTCATAGAGGAAATTGTGCTGTAACATAATAGATCATTTAAATACAAGGAGATATTTGCCAGTTGGACAGGGTGAAATTGTTTTATGGCAAGTTAAGGTGGGGGTATAGCATTGAGGAACACAGAGCAGCGTGAGCAAAGGCCCAGATATTACCTAAAGTAACATGACATGTATAAGGGACTAGGAGAAGTTTGGTAAACAAGAAAATGGAGACAGAAACAAAGGGCCTACAGAAAAATCAGATGAAATAAAGCTGCAGATGTAAACAGAAATCAAATTCGGATGCACTTTTCATTAAAGTTCAAAGAAAAAGTTAGACTTTAAACATAACTTAAGCATCATAGAAGCATATGCACAACCGGAACAAGTATCTCCCACTTAGTTACTTTGTGCACTTTATTTTTTTATTATTTTTTTAATATATAATTTATTGTCAAGTTAGCTAACATACGGTGTATACAGTGTGCTCTTGACCTTGGGAGTAGATTCCCATGATTCATTGCTTACATACAACACCCAGTGCTCATCCCCACAAGTGCCCTCCTCAATGCCCATCACCCATTTTTCCCCTCCCCTGCACCTCCTCCCCATCAGCCCTCAGTTTGTTCTCTGTATTTAAGTCTCTTGAACACTTGTCTTTTCCCCAAATCTATTTTTCTTCTAACAAGAAGTTTAATGAATCAACAGGCCATCAATCCAGTCCATACATCATCACCTATCTCTAATTTTGAGACAATCCTTTTAGTGTAAGGTGTAAAACCTTAACCACGTGTATAAGCAACACCTACCTCCTGTTCGATTTTCTGGCCTCGGTTATGGTCCACTCATGCTGACTTTCCTTTCTCAAGTGAAAAGTACCTTTACCCTCGAGGACCTTTACATGCTCACTTCCTCTTTGCTGAGAACATGCTCTCCTCATCCTTCGTCTAGTGAGCTAGCTCTCTACATCCTTGAAGTGTCACCTGAAACGTCGACTCCAACCCCCACCCCTGAGCGGGACCAACTCCCCTCAACTCTTGTTCTCTTAGTACCCGTGGCTATCCCTTTTGTATCACTCCTTGAAATTTGTTAATTACTTGTTCACGCTCTATCTGCCCCACTAGGCTCTCAGCACAATGATGGCAGGGACCATGTCTGTAATAAACACACACAACGATGCTTAACATAGGGTACACTCACAAATATATTTTTTTTATTGACTGGATGAGTGTCCATTAGGCAATTGTATATAGGAGATCTCTGACGAGAGGCCTGGGTTGGGCACATCAATTCAATAATTATCAGTATAAGCATGACAGCGTCATGAGAATGAGTGTGCTCACCTAGGAGGAGTGTGTCACCGGAGAAGAGCAGGGAGTCTTGAATCCGAGCAATGCCAGCATCTACACGAGTGGCGTCTGCCATGGATTTCTTTCAACTTAGCAAGAAAATAAATACGAGAATTTACGATCTGTCCTCATTTGGAGAAAAATGAAGAATGACTAAGGAAATCCCGAAACTTCAGACTGAAGGGCCAAAAGCTAATCTGGTGAATTTCGTATCTAGGGATAAGATA